TTTCAAGGTCACATATATGCACAAAGGTAAGTCTGCCATTCTGTGGGTAATATTTTCACCAAAGATAATCAATACAAATGCTTTTTTTTGCGCCGTTAAACAGCGAGTGTAAGCTTAACGTTTGCACTTTAATCACTATTTCAAACATTTTGGACAAGTTGTACCTTATAAAGCATTCAGTAGTCTATCAGTTTGTTTGGGTTATATGTCCATGTCAACATTTTACCCCTGCGAGTCAAAGTGCAAAATAAAGTAGAAATGTTCCAAAGACACACAAGATTTTTTCCAATTACTGAGAATTAGCAACAAGAAAAAATGCTTCAAATCTAGATTTTGATTCTCATTCTATAAATTTCTGGTTTACTGATCAAATATTGAATGTAAAGTGCTCAACACCAGTTGTTAATTTCAGACCCTATTGAAATTAGGGAAAATGTTCATGTCTAAGAAAGTAATATAGCTAAAAAGCAAGGTGCCTGCCAGTCTCTCCTGATTTCAAATTAAAATATGAACATGTATTGCTTAATGTATGCAAATCACTGATCCAGAAACTAAATTTTTTCTGAGTAAATTTATCGATAATGTATATTCAGTATTTGAGTGAATGATACTGATCTAGTATCAACAAAAATCAGTTTTATTAAAGGACTTTTAAATTTGCATTCAAACTTTTATATTTTTTTTTCATATTTATGCAGTTTTGGAACCCAAACTCAAAAGTGCACGTCTCCAGTATTGTAAGCATGTACCAGCTTACCTAATGACACTAACAATCTTTACAATTTAATGAGAATGAATTGCAAGTCAAACATGAACATGTACCAAGCGACTATATAGAACGCATGTTTGAGAATATATGTAATCTGTTGCAGAAGCTAATATGCATCTCAGGAGTGAATCTTACCATTCATGAATCCGATTGCAACCAGACTCTTTTTATTCTAAATGATCTACACGTATATTCACTTTTTTTACATTTATAAATTTTTTTGACTATGAACATTTAATACAATGTTTGGCATGTATGATAAATACAGAAATAATACATTTTCAAAAAAACAAGATGGCTGCCTGTCAACCATCTCTGATCTGATTATGAAACTAACATGATGAATGTACCAAATTTGAAAAAAAAAAACTGTGTTGCTTAAATGCATTTTGTATAACTTTCTGATAAATTCAACAAATTTGCTAAAAAAGAAGATACACATCTTTTATAGAATTTACTGCATAATTTGATAGATTTTAATAGTTAAATACATGTAGCATATAAAACAAGGAAAACAATGGGTTTAAAAAATAAATAAGACGGTGAAAATTATTTGTTATGATTATTCAGTTTCAGGTTTCTTCTTACTTTTCTTGCTTTGTCTCTTCTTTTCTCTCTGAACTTCATTTTTAGAATTCTGTTCAGCATTCAGATCGTTTAAGTGACCATACTGAAAATAAAAAAAAACATTTAAAATGTTAGTATTAAACACAAACTTGCTTCCTGGATAGGTGACTTGTGGGTAATTCAACAGAAATGTTCTTCTGATTTCCGCCATGCTAAATTTGATACCTCTGTTCCACAGTCAGCTGGTGTACAAGTGATAGTAAAATACATGTGATTAATTTATCGATATTTAATACATGTATATTGATTTTTAAGAATCTAAAAAACCTGTTTCTCAACTTGTCTCTTTCTTATACATTGTATATGTAATTCTAAATAATTTTTTACTGTAATACTCATTTATGTATACATACTCAAAATTGTAAATATGAGTGACACAATATGTATTATGCTGTAAATGCTGTATAATTTTAAATCGTAACTTTTATAGCAATTAAGACATAACTTTTTAGAGCAAACCAGATTATAGTGTATTTAATTGTCTCAACTTGTAAAGTTGTTAATAAATGAGCATTCTAAAATCATGTATATTCACACAATATTTAAAAAGGTAGCTTGATACAGTAAATACTGGTAAATCAATTTAATATTTTTTTTTTCACGTTTAAATAAGATTTGACATTGAATTATTCAGCGTGGTGATAATATGTGGAGAGTAAATAATCAGCAAGGTTTAGCCCCTCCAAAAAATCTGCCACATTTGGCAATTTTTTGCAAATTTCTAGCCAAACACACAAATTCATTTAATTCACGAAAATTTTCTGCTTGGGCAGTGGTTCAACATTAGGCAGGATGAACTTGAGACCCAGATATATTTTTTAAACGTCTTTTTATTCAAATTAACTTTATTTTTTATTCAAACTGATTTCAACAAAAATTTCACATACATGTACATGCTGTCTCCTGATATTTCTATTTATTGTGGGCCTTATATTTGCTTGCAAATGATTTCTACTTTCAATTCTGCTTACACAAGATGATATTTACAGACAGAAATACACATTTATATTATTATACAAACCAATGCACTGCTTTTCCTCACTGCTAACTTAACATCATCTGCATTGATGGTTGTTCTTTTGGCATGTCTGAAATACAAGCAACATCGAAAGTTTGAAAGTGTAAGTTGACCAAGAAGAAAATGCAATTCTGATATGATATTAGGCAAATTTTTCATGCAGATGACGTAATCAAACCATAATTATGTTCTAACCAATAAGTTTTAAAGGTACAGGAAATATTCTGCAGAAATATCAGATGTTTTGCCTTATGATTCTGATCAAAGCAACATTACATATAATTGTACATGCACACTTGAAACACTACAGGTACAAACATCCGCTGAGAATATACTCATACGCATATTTTTTACCAATCAAACCACAACTGTCAAGTCAAATGCATTTATTATTATATACTGTGTACTGCCTATTATTGAAATGCTGCATTTTTTATTGGCCGATCAGTATCATACACAGTTTTTGTATTACAGGTATACGTATAACAGGACAGTGATGGAGGTCAATGCAAGAGCATATAAACAAGGATGTGTGTATGTGTGTGTGTGTGTGTGTGTTTGTGGTGTCAACGTTGTGACAACTTTTACGTAACTTTACGACGACAGACCCACCATGTGACAACTCTCACTATTTTCATAAATAATATAATTGTACCATACCTTCCCCCTTTACTACATCTAAGCTTGGCAAACATTTCTATGTTAAGTCACACTATATTCAACTATAATATTTAATTATGTGTGGATGTGTGTGTGTGTGTGTGTGTGTGTGTGTGTGTGTATGTGTGTTTGTGGTGTCAACGTTGTGACAACTTTTACGTAACTTTACGACGACAGACCCACCATGTGACAACTCTCACTATTTTCATAAATAATATAATTGTACCTTACCTACCCCCTTTACTACATCTAAGCTTGGCAAACATTTCTATGTTAAGTCACACTATATTCAACTATAATATTTAATTAAAATGCAATTCTTTGTTGAATTGCATTGTAGTTGAGTTTAAGGGACGACGTCAAAAGATTGATGTCAGATAAAAAACTTAATTCCTTTAGTTTTTTTCCAAACCCCCCTACCCCCCACTGAAACTTAATTGATAAATATTGGTCATGGCGTCAGACTACATTCACCATTAAATACAAATTTATAATCGACAGTAAGTGTTGCATAGCAGTTGGTTGTTCCCCACCCCCAAACTAAAGGAAATAAGTTTTTTATCCGACATCGATCTGTTGACGTCGTCCCTAATTAAACTCCATATATAGAGTTGTGTTTTAATCCAAACTTAATGCAACTATATTAAAAGTTAATCCAATGTGTGTCGTGCGTGTGCGTGTGTGTGTGTGTGTATGTACACGATTCATCAACATTTAATGTTTCTCCACATTTGTATGAATAGTTTGAACAACATCATTAGAAATCCTGGTCATTTACCTATGTGTGTATGTTCACATTTGTCATGAACGTCTACACTAAACTGAATACAAGCATCCACAATGTGCTAACCACATTGCTGTGGAGCATACATGTTGTACTACAAACATAATATTTTACAGTGAAAGAAACAGGTTTCACATGAGTGCATAATTTAAAACATCATTCTTGATTTCTTATATGAACAAAATAAAGCAAAAAAGAAACTAGTTTTACGGTAATTCATTAAATACCAGATTCTAATATTGAAACACATTGTTATTGGCAATGGACCATTTCATTTGATGCCACCTTTATACTTGTTATCTAATAGTTTTATTTCTTTTTAAATACCTTCTCATTTATTCCTGTCTGAATGTCAATAATTGTATACATTACCCCAGTATTGCAAATAATCTGAAGCAATGACATCATAAAATTCACTGGTGTTGATAATATAATAATAATTAATGTATATTAATATTCATATATTAACTTACTTTGCAAAAAGTTCCTAAGTCTGTCGCTAATACACCTGGAAAAAAAAATGATATTGTGATTATGAGAATCATTCAATATGCTGTATTGCTTTTCTAAAGTATATACAAGCTGTTAGGCTCAGAACAAAAATATTCTTGTTTCTGCACTTCCTAGGCATCTGTTGAAAATATGTACACATCGTTTTGCAAAACAAATTATATTTGCAGTATAAACCCTGTGTATAGTCTTTGTTAATGGCAAAAAAACACAAGGTAGTTTATAAACACTGCATAGAAATGAATGTAATCATATCGATACTGGGAATACCTTTTGTTCACAGGAATGCATAAACTACCCAAATGGGAAAGCGAGAACAGAATCATAGCATGGCAAAAGAACTAATACAGGGTTGAGCTTGCACAAAGAAAATGTTTCCAAATTTCAAGGTTTGCTTCCAACCATCTGGTTCATTGTGCCTCTCTCTGACTAACATGTGCAAAACTGGGTTAAAAATAGCCTGTTCATATAAACCATTGAAATCAATGCAATGGCGGTAGAAATATACAACTTTAATCACATAAATCGAACAGATATCAATACTATTGTGATGATACCTGGTCTCTTAAAGGACAATAGTTGAAGCTGAAGTCATTAGAATTGCTGTTTTGTGATATCAGATGGCTGAAAGGGCAAACCGGAAATTAGGTACAGAAATGGCAGGATTACCGAGCAGGCTTTTTTTAAACTTTGATGAATTTTGACTTTTTTTTTAAATGAATAATCACGAATCAATCAATCAAATCAACCACATTTTAAGAATGTAAATGCAGGATGTGGATGATTATTTCACAAGGTGAGTTCTGAAATCAGTGAGGATATAAATCATTGAGTTTTTAAAGCATTATTTTTCTGATATGATTTACATTATTTACATAAACAATGGACTATTTTATTGTCTGTGTTTACACCAACCTTGCAATATTGGCAGAAAAATATGCAAATTAGGTAATTAATATGCATGAGGATTTTAACCAGAAACTGTCCCAGAGCATTGATGTACTAAGTTTCATTGAAAACAAGTGCTAGTTGAACTTCCAGCGTAGCAGACATACATGTACATACACACAGGAATTAATATAATGAATATGTCAATATCTTACCTGACTGTCTATATGTGGTTTCAGATATTGTTGCTATTAGTTGCCGAGAGAATGTTACATCATTTTTTTCTCCAAACTGCTCACAGATCTGACCCACTGTGTAATGTACAGCAGCTTTCAGCCTCTATAATAATAACCAACTATGTTATATGGTAGACTAACCAGCCACTTTCAAAACATTAGTAAATGTTGAAAACAATAATTTATTTAAAAAAACTTTTAAATAAACATTTCCTAACACTCAAAAATGCCTAGAAAGCACCCGACTCGAGGGTGATTTAAGATTTCTAAAATTCATCTAAACAATTTACAGTTAATGATGACCATTTGAAAATGAGTTCAAGATTTTTTTCACTAATTATTCTATGCACGCCAATTGTGATTTTTTTTTAACTACACCCACACCCCCTTTTCCGGATGACCCATTGTACAGGATCCCCGGGGATAGGATCTGAAATTGGTCACCGACTGGCAAGCCCTTTTCGATAAACCCCCTTTAACAATCGTTTATTATTAGTATTACATCGGCGGTTATTGAATTACTTGAATTGTTATAAACCTTCGTACTTGAGTTATCAAATTTCAAACGAGTAAACACACCTGATTGTAAGCAAGTTGTTCGTACTCATCATCATCATCTGACGCCATTTTGATTTTCCCGCTTAAATACCCAAAATGCATCTCGGTGCATTGAAAGTGTCGGGTCAAAAATCGACACAGTCTTGTCAAACCTGTCCCAAAAAATGGGGGTTTTGACTTATAGCACGTCAAACTAATTGTATAACAAACAGTCATATCATTTGAAATTGATTTTATCTGATTCTACAGACTTTCTCAATAGTAAAGAATTAACGAACACACCTCCTATGACCCAGTGACCTTAAAGGGGTCATTCCCAACGAGACGAATTAAATGGTCGATGGTTTTTACCCACGTGGGCAATGAACTTGATTTAAGGTGATTTGCGTCTTATTTAGGATTATACGTTAACGCTGTCTGACATCTGGTACGCACAGTTTTTTGTTTTAATACAAATTATTAGTGATGCTATAATGTATGCGAAGAACAGCACTTGGTCAAAGTACGTCACAGTGTGCACGTAGTGATGGTCAGTGTTATATTATTCATGTCACGACGACGTTACAGGTACTCTGTATAAGAAGACATAAGATAACAGTGTAATACATGTATATGAATTCTTAAAATGCATGTAAATATTCTTTGCAAACTGAATATCCCCCAGGTGTTTTTCTGTTATATGTTCCAGATGACTATACAGGTCTTGAAGATAGGGCATATATAATTAAAATGGGGGAGGGACACTGGAGGGACAGGGATCCTAAGAAACTGTTACTATATTTTCAGAACAAATGTCTACATGTTCCCCATCATAATATTTGGAGCAACTTTTTGTGTAATTGAAACATATTTGGGATGAACATACAGTATAACATATAATAAAAATGCTATTGTGAACTCTGTAAAACTTTACACTTGCTAGTAATGCATGCTTATATGCACACTCTTTAGATGTCAGATGGTTGTTCTGAGCTTCCCATTGTACAACATAACCTATTAGCACATCTAAAAAAGTCAACTGATAGCTTACATGTCTATGTATAGTAATGTATTTTATGGGAAGAGTGGGGAGGATGGCCCATAAATATCTAGTCCAAATGTAACATTTCAAAAAGTAAATGTCAAATGTAATCCACTGCAATTGATCAAATGAAATTCTTTGCAATTGGGGTAATGTTATTTGCCAATTGTTCTTGATGAGTCTTTATCTCTTCCTAAAACAGGTACTTTCCACATAATTTGAGGAATAATTAACATGTCTACAAAAAGTTTACAACGAAGTAATACGATACACCATCCTCATCAAAGTATGCCATACCAACCTGTGGAAGACGTGCATTCACCATTGAAGCGGTTTGTAGAAGCGAAAAAACAGATCAATGATGTATTTCGACAGATTGTTTCACATTTGGAGGAAAGCGTTAAATTTTTAGAGGGTAATTATCGATTGTGCTTTCACGTTGTTAAAAGTTTGTAATCATTGTGCAGCAGAAAAACGTATTTTACAAGGTACAATCAGCTCTGTTTCTGATTGTCGCACACTAGTCCTGTTACTGGAAAACCTCTTATGTAACATTGTTGTATAGAACTGGAATGACTCTGGAACAATTGAAGGATTTGAGTACTAACACATATTCCAAAGTTGCGAAATTTTCCTCTGGCGTATTTAATTACTCTAAAGTCAAATTTTGTCAAATTTCACCAATTTTGTTTATATATTTTTTTTCATCAAAAATTGTATCCATTGAATAAAAAATTAACAGAAATTGTATAAATATTCATGAAATTGGAAAAAATTATGGTGCTCATAGTGTTAAAAGCATTTTTAAGTTAGAGAACAAAATGTGCTTCCAACATATTTGAAATTTGAAAAAATCCTCACAGAATAAGACTTCTTGCTCTCTCAACAGAAATTTCTGAGTCTGTGGAAGTATCAGGTGACCATGCCACTGAAGTTCAAGCTCACAAGGTCAAAGTTGAGGGAATTGGGGAGGTGTTGGCCAGAGACCACATGAAAGTAGCCTTCTTTGGCAGGTATATAATTTTGTCATTTTGCGGTTATTTTCATGATACTTGTCAGTATTTTTCTTTTTTAGAAAAACTTGTTTATTTTAGC